TTTCCATCATGGTTTTTTTTTTTTTCTTTTGGGACAATTTCTTAAATGGCTTGGCATTTATTTATTTTTTTTATATTTTTAAATTTAAAATGATATGTGTGTCATCTCAAAGGTTGATAAAAAAGAAAAAATGAAAAATCTTATTTTCATCATCAACTTGCAGTCCATTTTCCATGTATTTTTATACAAACGGGTGTCTTGCACTTCAAGGGAACAGGATTCCACATGGCCAGCAAAAGATACTTCCGGCCGTTCTCCCCCTACGCATTTTAGCTAGCAGCAATCCTCTTATCTACCAACACCTTTTCCCGAGTACCCGGGAAATGCACCCGACCCAAATATCCCAATGCAAGACGTGATTGCTTCTATCGGCGTGCTAAGAGGACCCTGGAAATAACCACCTTCAAACGGATTCGTGACAGCGCCCGCAAAAATGGTGGCCAAGTTTAGGGCGGGACAAAACTCCCGGACCGAACCGGACTCGAACCCAACTGAATCGAACCGAACGATTCTTCATAAGTTAAATATTCGAACTGGGTATCTAAATCGAGAACCGACGAATTCAGTTTGGTTCTCGATTCTAGACCCAGAACAGAATAATTGAATAAGAATTGAATTTAAATAATTTTTAAATTTTTTTATATTGAATTAATAAAAAAATTATTTTTTAAACAAATTAACTAATTTAGTGATTAATGTTCTAACTCACAAGCCAAATACATGCCAGCTAGCCTAGCACAACCCAACCTAATTTTTAAATTCAATTTTTTGGTCCAATTATTAATTTCATTCTTAGCCTAAAATCTAGGCATTTTTAAGTTTTTATCCATCTATTTCCAATTTCACACTTTCATTTGATAACCACTGAATCACTGACCCCCAAATCATTTGATAAATTGAAAACATACATCTACATACCTAAATCAAAGCCGCCGACTGTCAAGTCTGACTTCCCTTCTCCAACTGTCTATCGAAGTTGTGACCTCCAACCACGCCACTGATCGTTGACCATAGGGGTGTCCAAAAGTCTTGAACAGGACCGAACCGAACCGAACCGAGCGGTTCTTCCTAAATTAAATTCCCGAACGGGTACCCGAATCGAGAATCGATGGGTTTTGGTTGGGTCTCGGGTCTAGACCAAGAACCGAATAAAAACCGAAACTAAATAATTTTTTTATTTTTTATATTGAATTAATTAAATTATTTTATTTTTTTCATACAAATTAGTAAATTAATTAAATAAATCAGATTATTTCATAATTTTAATTTTAAAGCACAAATCATTTTTAAAATCCATTAGCACATTTTAATTTGAAACAAATGAATATATTTTATATAG